TGTTTGGGAATATTTATATTAGTTAAAGAGTAACATGATGGAAAATAATCTTAGAAGCTTTGACAGTCGCTATAAATATTTTGCAGTTAAACACTCTTTAGATCAAAACTCAGCCATTCAGCTTCAGAGCAGTGACTTAAATAAACTAAAAACCACAATAAATCACCATCTAAAACTGTAGGTAGGGCAATAATATTTCAATAGGGGGCAGCACACTGCCATTACAGGTTGGCCTTTAAATCACATTTAATTGCTCTTTTGTGTAGTAGACTGTAACTGCAGTTTGACTGGAGCTTGAAACACACCATTCTTCTAATCTTCTATACTGTGTGCACCATATACTGTCTGTCTATCAAATCCATTCTCCATATGCCGTCCTTAACAACCTTCTGTCTGCTAAAACTAATGTGCACATCTTTTTTAGGTGTTATAATAAAAACAGACAACAGTACATCCCAGAAAATGGACCACGGCATCAGGTCAAGCAGATTCTCCTCAAGCGTCTTCCTGCCATCAGCTTTGGGTGGCTTTTATTGAAGTGTCATAACCCATTTGATTGTAAATCTTAGTGACCTTGTAGTCACTAGAGAAAGCACAGATCCGTAAACCAATCATCGCACGGCTGCCCCTGTCAGCCACGCTCCTGTTCACACAGTCCCTGCTTGCATTTCCTGATGTTAAACAGGAAGGTATACAGTAAAGCTCAGTTCACATTAGTGTGTGTGAGAACACAGCGTCATCTATAAACTTTACTTAAAACCAAGCCAATATCGGCACTGTAGTTATTCTCTTAAGGAATTATTTCATTAAATTGCTCTGTTCAGGTGGAGACTAAGCATAGGTCATCCAGTGTGTTCTAGACTTGGGTAAAAAAAAAGTCAGGATGAAGACTAATGATACTGCAAGTCTCAGCATTTCTTAGAACACTTCCAGCTGCTCTGCTCAACAGCAGCACAAAGATCAGTGTTATTATGGATTTGTTGAAAATCAATTTTGTGAATGGTAATGTCTTTTAACGCTTTCAGAGATAAAAAATGCTTGGTGCACTTCTGTTGGATGATTCCTGTCTACTGTCTACAGTTTGGATTATTGGACCGGCTGCTTGAAGGCTCTTTACAATCTCAGTGAAAACGGTTCTCAGGTTCTCTGTATGACCTACACAGGTTAACAGAATCTGGGTTTTTTTTTCTTTAATCACAAGCTAAATCTTTGCAGCTGTGTGCAGGACTTTAAAGCAAGTGGCCTGGATTCAGTTTCCACCTGATTTCCCACCTGTTTTCCAGTTTGCAGAAGTGATTATCACTGTGGTAATTATCAACCATGCCACCCAGGAGAAATGGCACCATCATATTTTCTCAGCTTCCTCATGATCATTTAATTATCATCTAACCTAAATCTACTCTTCCTGCTTTGTTTGCTAACTGGCTTTTTTCATGTTGCCTCTGAGCCTCTGAAAAACTTCAGTTTATCTAAAAGTATAAATCATAAAGTAGAATAATGTGTTCTAAGACCTCTCTTGTAAAACAGATGTTGACTTCATTTGAAATTTGTGAAAGTTTAAAGCTGAAATCTACACTGCACTAACAAAATATTAGTGTCAAATATTAATGTGCATGGCCATAATGTGCTGTTTCTCAGTCCTTATCATTTACAGTATATTAACTAAAGCAGTCAACAACATTTTCATCTTGGAGTTATGCTTCTTTTCTTGTCTTTGTCCTGAGCTTTAGGAAGGTTTGAATAACTTTCTGCCTTTAATAAGGACAACAAGCAATAAATTCCAAACCAGATGTTTCAATAAGAGGCTATATGGTTTAATTTAGTCGCTTCAATTACTTTTAAGAGAAAGTACGTGAGAGTGAGAAATCACAGGCAGAACACAAATACAGTGTAGCCCTACAGGCTGTGTATCTTTGGTTTTGACAAAGAAAGTAGCATCCGTGGTTCCGTGCAGCATCCAGGGATGGAGATTAGCATGGAGCCATCAGCAGCGCTGCAGTCCCTCCCTACCCTGCTTCTGCTGTCAGACCACCTCCTCCCTGCTTGTCAGGAGCTCCGACGAGGAGCTGTAAAAACCTTTTCCCCTCTCCTTAACAACTGCAAAACAACACGCACACACCCCGGCTGAGGTGCCTGCTTTTCTGAGGCCTCTGACAGGACGTGCTGCAGGCACAAATTGTAATTCATAAAGGTTAAGGGGGTCAATGCCTTTTATTACCAGTCTGAGTGCATCCAGCTTGATGGGGCGGGCATGCAAATGGAATGTCTCAGAGTGTTCTATGCAAGAACTCAGACAGCGAGTGCGTGCGTGCCTCTGAATGGGAGGAAGTAAAAGGTGGGTAAAGGTTGGTGGGGGTTGCATGAGATCAGCTGCTCTCTCCACCTTCCACAGCCATGTAAGACCACACTGCCACTGCCCGGTTAATTAGACAGTATGACATTGACCTCAGGTAGTTAACGGCCACTTTGATATGTGCTGTCTTGCAATTAATACTTTGTAAATCTTCATGTTTTATCATATGGTCAGCTCTGACCTATAAGTGGCTGCATTACATTCAGGCCTAAAATACATTTTTACACTTGACATTTGCATTAATTGAAATACAGAATCAGCAGTGTTAAAGATCTGACATGGTCATATTGCTTTAAAGCTCTCTCTCGTACCAGGAAGAATATGAGGTTTAGACCAAATCTGGTACAGTATCACAAAAATGGGATAAAACGTTCTATCCATAGGATAGTTATTTAGGTGTTTATCAAGAACAGAAAATACTCTATGATTTTAAAACAATGTTGCACAAAGTTTCTTTCTCTTTTCTTTTGTGCAGTTTCCATGACTCCAGCAACATATACTATGACCACATTGCACCCTATTGCCCCCTCTGCTGGATCTTTATAAGAATGACCATGTCAGCAAGTAACCTTCAAGCTATTCACTCTGGCTGTACATGGCATGTAATGGTACAGATTTGTGACTTAATGAAAATAAATGGTCATGAGACATGGCTTTAGTTTTATGTCACTTTGAAACTGTACAGAAGTTTGGTTTGACCCTTGCATGCATTGTCATTCACAGGTTATAGTAAATGCAGGCATTTGAAGCTGGCCTTTGAAAAGGAACTACATGCAATCTTCCTATGTGAACAAGCTTAAAATAATCATTATGGAACAAATTCTGTTAGGACAGAATAGAAAAAACAACTGAATGGAGCACAATAGAGTAGTAAAGATTGGAACATAAAATAGAACATTACAGACTAGAATAGAATAGAATTGTACAAAATAGAATGGGACTGATTAGAATAGAATAGAGTGGAATAGGGCAGAAAAGGCAGGAATAAAATACTAAGCAGCTGTTTGATGCTTTCTTAATAAGATTCAGTTTCATTCAGCACTTCAGGTATATACAGTATATGATCTACTGACTGTTTCTGCTCAGTGCTCATGAGGTCAGGAATCTGTGGCTTCGCTGTAAAACAGAAAAGATCATACCTGAGAAGCCACTGGGACATTCCTCCCTTAAAGCGCAGTGTGCAGCAAAGGCAGACTCCCCGTGCTCATTACCTTTCCATCACAGACCAGCTGCTGTGGAGCCATTCATCACAATTACAATCCGCCTAGTATTGGTAGCCTAGAGCTCCACCATCAGCGTGTGAGATGCACAGACAGGGTGCCGAGCCATCGGTCCCTGTGGACAGAGAGTTAAATTCACACCACAACAGGTGATAGTAGTGGACAGGAGCAGGCAGGTTTTGTTATGAGAGAAAAACGAAGGCTGAAATTCTTGAATTCTGCCTCTACCTACAGTGACAGGATGTTCTTCATTTGACCAAAACTAGGGTCTGATGTAAATGTTGTGCTCTTTCTGTGCTACCCATATTAGCCAGAACTTCAACATTTATGTTTAGCATTAGACATGTCAGCTTGAAATTCAAAATACACTTGAAACAAGAGTTTTTCTTTTTCCAGTTAAATTTTTGATCCAGATCTGGGTGCATCCCGATTAACTGATGACCCATATAAGCAAATATACATCAAAAGGAAACACAAAGAAAACACAAACGATATACTTAAACTGTCATTTCCTGGTCTGATGTAACCCACAGGAATGCGACATTCAAGACGTTCCAGCTGTGGAACAGGTTCTCTCACAGTTGCTGTGTAGCTATATTTATGGATGAGCACGATCATTTTTACCAAAAATGTTGTATCATTTAGATACGCTTTTGTAGGTAAGTTATATGATTTACATGTCCATGCCCAGGGGCCCATTATCCCCATAATCTGTCTGTGCTGAGGCAAGACTACCAACCTGACAAATTCATTGTGTGTCAAATGATTTGCATTAGTTTGATTCATTTCAAATTTGCTGGGGATAATATGTTTTTATTATTGTCAAATCCCACGAAAAGACCAACAATGTCTATCAGTTTCCAATATTCTAATCCTGTCTGTGGCACTCAGCCCCAAATACATTTTGTCAAATGGATCACAAAAGGCTATATGAATTCCTAAAACTGATGGGTAGGTGTACTTTGTAATAAATGCTATTCTAAACAGGAGTACATAGTAGACCAGAGCTACGGGGACTTTACAACCATTTGGTGCCCTGTGGAGTTTATGAAATGTGGAACATTGACTGAAGAAATAGATTTCATACCCTTTTTATAACAATCCTGCTTTGTCCTTGCTGAGGGGGGTCATGTTATTTTGACGAAATTAGAATTCTGTATATTAATGTCTGGATGTCAGTGTGGTGTGTATTCTGTAGTGTTTATAATTTTATTACTTCCAGGGTACTATCCATAACGAGTAGCCTAGAGTCAGTGGTGCAAACAACCCTTTTTAGGTGCAAAAAAATTAGTTTCAATATTTGTGTACTTAATGAAGACCAGGTGAGGTCAAAATAGTTTTTTTTTTTTAATAAAGGCTTTTACACATAGCCTGCTCCTTGCTCCACGTAAAAAAAAAAAACTTTTGTATTGCTGTTTTGATCATATTAAATAAAGTTTCGGTGAAATGACCTTCCCTTGTCATCATCCGGGAACCTACATACCTCACATCACGCGTGCGCACTCGTCCGTTGTGGTTCGACCTCTGTAGTTGGTAAGTGTGTCATGGCAGTTTGAATGAGACTCTTGTCTTGAATAAATCCTTTTTCATCCTCTCTTTAAATTTAACATTGCAGCGCTCAAGTGAGCATAGTATGTAGAATGCATGTGAATGCACATATGAAATTCTTTATTTTCTGTGTGGAGCATTTGTACACCCGTTTGACCTTCTCTCCGGTCTTCCCTTCTCAGATAGACCCGGGCTTCAGCTAGACTGACCGAACCGGTTAATAGTACCTAAGGGAGAAAATGTACGCCTGTGCAAAGTTCGTCTCTTCGCCGGCTGTGGTGAGTTTGCCTTCTTTGGTGGGTTTTTGCTCTGTGACTGAGTCTTGCTTACTAAATATCACCATTAAATCCGGTGGGCCTGTGGTTGAACTTGACAGCTGCTGACTGGCAAGCTATGTGCAGGCTAGGCCAGCGGCCAGCTAATGCTAAGCACTGATTGTCAGACGTCTTAAATGAAGGCTAAGTAGCTCCAATAGCCATGAACAAGGTACCGGGTAGTTATCTTCGGTAAAGTGCCACAGGATCATTGCTTTGATCCGTAGGAGATGTTTTCAGTGATGGCCGTTAGCTAAGGTCATATAAGCTTCTATTAGCCGCATTTAGTGCAGAGTTCATCTGAAATTTTCACACAGTCTCGGAAGCTGATATACAAATGGTCACCTTGTCCATTTGGGCAGTACTGGTTCCTGATAGTTGCAGCCTGGGCTGTTAGTCAGTCTCCAAGGTCATATTTCTCTTTTTAATAGCACTAGCAGGCTAGCCAGTTTAAAGTCCAATAGGTTTGATTGTTAGTAGGTTTGCTACCATTGTTTATTAGAGCTTCAAGTCACCACAACAAATCTTCAAATTAACCACAAATGACTTTGGCAGAACAGACTGTACTTGCAGATCACAAAAGGCCACAGGTCACTGCAGCGACTATGTGATAGGTGACATTCAAGGTGCTGTCCACCTGTTTGTGTGCATGCAGACTGGGAATGTAACAACAATATATTTCATGTCTTACTGAGCTTCTGTAGTTTAACAAAACCTGTATTGCTTTTGTGTTTGGTTTTGATGCAGGTCCGTGCTGGTTCCCGGGCTCTTTATAGACCCCTGTCTGCCTGTGTGTTGTCAAGGCCTGAGATTAAAACAGAGGTAAGAAGGAATGCAGGTTTCTACTAGGACTGTCATTTCACCACTTTTGTAATTATTTATTTGAAAAAGGTTTTGGCTGATTGGTTCTTTTTATAAAGTGTAAGCAATAATGCCAAATGTTTAGACCCAAATGTGGCAGTTTCAAAGTAGTTTAATCAACAGACAATAAAACTTGAGCAAAAAAAAAAAACTTAAGACCTTAACATTCAAAAAGGTGTTTTTAAAAAACGTCTAAATGTAGAATTAGTTTTCACTTTGACAAAAAGCAAAGCATTAAACCCCTTGCATTTTTAAGGTTAGTCTGGAAAATGGCTGGGTTTTTGTACATGGAAAAATTTATTAAAATGATCATGAAGATTGGATTTTAGTTGTTGAATCCACTATTCTTGTCATTAATATAAATATATTTACTATTTTGTATGCGGTAAAACTTCATTTTATTTCATGGCATTGACTTAGAGGTTTACAGTGTTTCTATTCTTCTTCCAGAGCAGTGTTGCTGTGATGCCACAGAACCCTCTCACCCAGGTCACACTTAGGAGCTTCCAGACCAGCGCTGTCAGCAAGGACATTGACACCGCTGCCAAGTTTATTGGAGCTGGAGCTGCTACAGTTGGTGTAGCTGGATCCGGTGCTGGAATTGGGACGGTGTTTGGCAGTCTCATCATCGGCTATGCTAGGTTTGTTTTCAGTGGCAAACATACTTAAAATACTAAATTTCATTTGGATGAACAGATTCCCGGGATGTTTTTTGTTTTTTTCATGAATGCATTGACAGTTTGTTTTTGTCTGCAGGAACCCATCTTTGAAGCAGCAGCTCTTCTCGTATGCCATCCTGGGATTCGCCCTGTCTGAGGCCATGGGACTGTTCTGTTTGATGGTTGCTTTCCTTATCCTGTTTGCTATGTAAAACTGCTGTCATACAACACTTACAGATGTAACTACATATTTTATTGTGGCTACTAAAATTGTTCCATGTTGTTGTCAAGGAAATGTACATTTTCAAGTCTTTCAGACGCTGTCGAAATAAGCAAAACATGTATTGTACAAATGTAAGAAATTACGTGATTAAAATACATGTATTTGACTATTTATTAATGGCAGTAATTTATATGTCTGAAATATGCTGGCACAACAAAGTCAGGTTTCATTAATGTCTTCTTTTGTGTGAAGCAGCCTTGTTTTTCTCTTGCATAAAATGCAAGCTTTTTGGGGTCCACAGTAAGGAAGTCTTGCTTCAGCTGCACTTAAATAGAATAGACTCTTTATTGTCATTGTACACAGTACAACGAAATTGGGTGCAAACCTCAGGTGTAGAGAAAAATGTCAGTATCAAAAACAAAAAACTATAAACCACATAAAAATCACACTTATTGCACATTGACAGACATAAACTGCAAAGGTCCATCTCCATATTGACAGGAATAAAATAATTATGTTAAATATGTTAAAAAGCTACAAACAACAGAGTAGGGTAAAGTACGATGTCACATATTTACTAAGTAATGATAATGACATACTACATATAAGCTGAAGACAGTGTATTGTGAGGTGCGGTACAGTGTTGCCCACTTATGAGTTGTTCAGTGCAATTATTGCTTTTGGGTAGAAGCTGTTTTTTAATCTGTTTGTCCGTGCCTTGAGACACCTGAAACGTCTGCCTGAAGGTAGCATTTCCATCAGATGATGCCCAGGGTGGGACGAATCCTCCCAGATCTTTTGGGCTTTCTTGAGGCAGCTCGAGTTATAAAGTTCCTCCAAGGAAGGGAGAATACTGTAATTAGGCAGCAAGTGAGTGGTGGCTTTTTAAAGTGGCATTAAATAAATCCAGATAATATAACTGAGCTAAGTAATGGGCTTTGAGTCCTTTGATTGTTATGAGAAGTCCCTGCTGGGTTGTTTCAGGAACTAACGAACCATAGTCACTGGACCTTTCTATTATACTGTAATATAGGCTGCTTCAACTGAACGTAAAGCTGAAGTGGTTGTCAGGTTTATGGAGTTTTAGCAATTCATTATTTTGCAAGTAATTTGTCAAGCAAAATGGTTAATGTGTGGTTCCAGCTTCTCCAAAAGAAGCATTTGCAAATTTCTTTAGCTGTTAATTGAATATCTTTGTTTACTCTGTTGTCCCAGTGATGATTTTGACATGTCACCCTGAAACTTTAAGCTTGGAGGACTTGTGATGGAGTATTTTTTTGTTTTACTAATTAACTAAAAAAAAAAAAAAAAAGACAAGTCCCATTAAGAATTCTAGAAAATCAATAGTTGTAGCCACAAATTTGGCAGTTAGAAACTTAAGCTGAAAATTGGATTGAAAGTGGAAAGTAAACTTGCATGTGTGGCCAGTATAGTAATAAATCCTCTTTTACCTATTTGTATAGCTAACACAGGTTATCATAATGCAAAAGTTTTAATAAAATTGAATGAAATCTTTGGAAGCTTCAAGGTGCCCTAACCAAACTACAGTATACAGACATATTTCAGCAGTAAAGTACATTATTCATTATTGTGTATAGAAATTATTGTTTATATAGTAATTTTATATGAATAAATGTTGAACAAAGTATATAATAGTAAGAAAATACCATCAATTTTTAATAAAGTCTTGCACTTATGGTCCTTTTATTTGTTATTAGTCTTGAAACAAAAATATTTTGGAAAAATGTATAAAATACTTTGTGCATTTTAAGTGTTTCCAATTAAAATGGAATATAACCACCACGGGCGGAGGCTATATGAGATTTACAGTGAAACGCGAGTTAATGTTTCGTTTTGTCACAGTGGCCACAGAAATGCCCTGTTTTACTTTGTTCCAAAATACTTGTTGATCAATTATTTTATATATATAGGCAATATTACCCACTCTAGCATTTATATATGTATTTATATTATTTTTATTTGTTTAGAACTATGCAGAACAAGTTCGTGTGACGTTTACGGAAAAGTCAGAGCTCTTCTCGCGATATTTGGTCACAGACGTGGGATTTTGGAAATCAAGGGTTGTGGCTGAGGGGTAAGTGACTACATAAACTGATAGCGAATGGGTTAAACGTTGTTGTAATAGACATCATTTCTGGCATTGTGGCGGACTTGAGCTCTGTTACATTGATACGGCCTCGAAATAAACGCTGACATATCCTCTGTTTACAGTGATATTTGTGTCCAAATATGGCGACGGTTGTATGTTAACGCAGGGATCAGGCTATTCCATGGAAGCGACTGGAACAGATGATCGCTCCCTCTGTAATAACGTTATATTATTTGTGTCTTTTCATGATGAGCAGTTACATTTACAACAAAGAAAACAATAGCGTTGTTAGTGAAAGAGAGCTCACTATAACCGCCCCAGTCGAGTACTGGGTACAAAATAACTGGACTGAGAATTCAGTGTCTTTTATGATGACCCTGAAGTGTAAACAACCAAAGCAACCGCCCTTCATGGATATGCTTTGTCCTAATTTCCAGCTGTTTTCTCAGGGCTTTATCTTCACATTGCTAAGTTCAGCCCTGAGACACACATCGTCCGATATCAGCGTTGTTAATTTGAATCTGGACTAACGTTATATCCATAGCGTTTTGTTTTCTTGAGTTACACGTAGATTTAAGCTGTTAACCCTTGTGCACATATAGTGATACATCTTTAGGCATGGCATTTAACTCTGTGTTTTTACATGTTATATTTCAGGGTGATATAACAGGAATTTCTTAATATGAGTGATGACAAACCTTTCCAATGTACTGCTCCTGGATGTGGACAGGTAAGTCAATTCTCTTATCACAAATGTTGTCCCACAATTTCTAATGACTCTGGCTGTATTAACATGGTTATATCACAAATGTTGTCCCACAATTTCTAACGACACTGGCTGTATTAACCTGGTTAGGGTGAATCAGGGCACAAATTAGTTTGTGTCACTTCTTGTATATACTATTTGTAAAGTACTTGTTTATACACATATTTCATGTTGTACTGAATCCATGTTTTTCTTTCCTTGTTTGTCTTTTTTTGGATGTTTGGACAAATATATTGTGTGTGTGCCTAATGACATTATCAAACCAGACTGAATCAGTATAAACTAAAATAATGATGATGTTGAAACTAGATTTTAACACAGCTAACGTGTAGAAGATAGGACCATAAAATAAATATATAATACCAGACCTAGCTGATTTTGTACTTGAGTAGTGTAATCAAGTTACAGGTGCCTGGGTGGTCATCCAAATTGGAGTGAGTGTAGTTCATCTACTTTGTTATATTTTTGTAGGAATGTTATTTTCATTTCAAAACATTTAAACTGATAGGTTATAATTTTGTTGTGATTTTCTTTGTATTTATTCATTTATGTATTTCATCACTTTTCCTGGGCTATAAAACATCAAGTACTGGTATCTACTGTACCTTCAAAAAAAAACTATTGTAAAGTGTAAACTGAACCTCACCAAAAAGGTTTGAGGTTTGAAGGTTTGGCGTTAAACCATTTTGGAGGCTGCAGTTTGTCATGCTGTTGATTTTTCTTGTGTTACACTGGGAAGTGCCCCATTCATGTAACTGCAGTGGGAGTTATATACACATATATATATACATAATAATACTCCTCAAAAGAAGAGGAAAAGATAGTGGCAGTATAGACGTATGAATTCCCTGTATCTTGCTAATATAAAACATGCTTTTTATTGAAATGTTAGTTAATCTTACTTAAAACTTTAACGACCATTTGCTTCAGACCTTTCATCTAGATCATATCTCATTGTCCTGTCTGTTTTCTTTTTAACTTTACATAGAGATTTACAAATGAAGACCACTTGGCAGTCCACAAGCACAAACATGAGATGACCCTGAAGTTTGGCCCAGCAAGAACTGACAGTGTCATCATTGCTGGTAACTGCTTTTGACATTGATAAATATAGTGTAAACGATGCTTGTAATCAGTGTACTAACGGTTCTCTTCGTTTGTAGACCAAACCCCTACACCAACCCGCTTTTTGAAAAACTGTGAGGAGGTCGGGCTCTTCAATGAACTTGCTAGTCCATTCGACCATGACTTCAAAAAAGCGACTGAAGATGACATTAAAAAGGTTGTTCTCATAGTTAAAACTTGTCAGCCGCTCTTCTGACTCATGTTTATTCCATTATTAGTTTTTATGCCTCTGCTCCAGCGATAGCTACAGCTGGAGGCATTATGTTTTCAGGTTGTCCATACGTACATACATACATCACATTCTTATGAACACTATATGCCATTAACACCTTGAGGGAATGTCTTAAAATTTAGCACAACTGTCCACTTGGACTCAAAGATGAGCCGATTAAATTTTGGTGGTCAAAGGTTCACTGTGGTCACTGTGACCTCTCATTCATCTCATTCTTGTTAATGTAAGAAAATATTGGTACACTTGAGGATTGCAATAATACATTTTGCGATACTGTATTGATTCTCAAAAACACAGTATTGATTTTAATTAATAGTTCACATGCCAAATAGTGCTATGTTGCATGTTACGGGGCTGTGACAAATGCAAATGCAGATCCCTGTTATGATTGCATAAAAAGTAAACTTTTTTTTTACAGGAGATTTTATGCATATGATGGTTTGTTGCTTATTTTTGACAGTTTTCCTAAATTTCATTTAAGAAAAATCAATTTATCACCTTATTTACAGTAATATATCGAATCGTAACCCTGATATCGTGATGCGTATCGTATTGGCAGATTCTTGCCAGTACACAGCCTTAGTGAATGTGATATGTCAGAAACACCTTGAGGAAATTTCTTCCACTTGGATTCGAGGATGAACTGATTAGATTATGGTGGGAGAAGGTCAAAGGTCAAGGTCAGTGACCTCACGTCTGCCCTATTTGTATGAATTTGACTAGGTGGTGGAGGCATAGAACCACAGAGGGGTAATCGAATTTCCATCTATGTTCTGTCCTTTGCTGACCTGTCCTGTGCTTCTCACTGCCCTGTAGTTACCACTGGATTTGTCACCTCTTGCGACGCCTGTCATACGCAACAAAATAGAGGAACCCACAGCTATGGAGGCACATCGAGATAGTCCTCTGCCTCACCCCGAATCTACTACAAATGATGACAAGGTAAAGGTGTTAAATAAACTGTGTCTGGTTTTTGTGCTAATCACAGACTTCACAAAGCTGTCACTAAGGGTGTTCTCCTGGTGTTCTCCTGTTTCAAATCCACTGGTCTGAATATTGTTTGGACTCTTTGGTCATTTTAAACTGAGCTTTTAAAATAATACCTATGTTGTGTGTGTTTGTGTTGTGGTAATACTGAAAACACTGGAAAATACCAGCAGTACTGCACAAATTGATTCATAAAAAGGATGGGAGATTAGGTGGATTTGAACAAATAAGTTTGATTTTTTTTCCCCTAATTTTTATTTTTATTCCTAATATTGAGGAAAAAGTTAAGTATTCGCTATCATGTAATAGGAAGCCGTTAAGTAATTTGGTCTTCATTAAACACTTCCTGCAGCTAAGGTGTTTTGTTTCCAGGACTTATCTTTGCAGCCAGCCTCACTGCCAACATCCACTATAGTCCATCCTGCATCCCTCCAAGTTCCCAATGTACTTCTAGCAACCTCAGAGGCTAATGTTGTAATACAGCAAGCTCTCCCATCGCCAACATCTAGCTCTGTTATTACCCAAGTCCCATCTACTAATAGGCCTATAGTGTAAGTAACTTGAAATGTCCATTTTTAAAAGTTGTGGTGTTTTTTTTTTAAGTCATCCTTTCCTTTTTAAAATAATTTTTCTGCAGTTTTGTATTGGTGAGCTCATATTTCATGAGGCATGTGCTTGTTTGTTTTTATTTATTTGCACTTCACAGGATTTTTTTGCACTATAGATGTCAGAAACATCAGTATTGCTCAAATATAAACTTGTAGCTTCAATGAAATTTCTGAGTGGTGGAAAAAAAGATTAATGGGGTTTTCACACAATCATCCTTGTCACACTGTGTTCAGAGCAGTTTTTTAAAGTTGTATGTTTTTAATTAAGCCATTTCTTTAGGGTTAATACCCATTCTTAATGGTTTGGTTATTGACCTACTGGGAGCTGAATTAAATGGATTATTTTGTGTTTGGCATCTATCTACTGTATCTGTCTTTCTGTCTAGCAATGGATTGTTTGTTCATTCATTTCCTTTAAATTGTGTGTTAGTGAAATCACTCATGGACTCACTTCAAAGCGAAGATTCTGTAGGTATCAATAGTCAGTATTTGGCGCAGATGATTTGGTGAAAACCCCAGGTGTTTTAACAACAGTAAAATCACTTTGGAACTAATGTCCATATACGGGCAGAACTGATGTCTCTTAATGGGTCTAATGTGACATAAAAACATTGTTTTAGCTACTGTTTGAGTCTGTTTTTGCAACAGCTGTATTTAACTTGTTGGGTTCTGTCTTGGTTCCTTTTTATTCCCATCAGTCATTGCCTGACTTTGACATAACGTAGTATATTAATAGCCACTCTTATTTATAATTTGTGACACTCTCTTGTTGTGTTTTGCTCCTAGTTGTTTGTTAGTTATCTCACTGGGATTCCTTTTCTCTCCTCCTGCAGCCCAGTGTCTGGCACCTTCCCTGTGCTCTTACAGCTGCCTAATGGCCAGACCATGCCAGTTGCTATACCTGCATCTATTACAAGCTCAAGTGTACATATCCCAACTACAATCCCTGTGAGTGTTCTGCTGGTTATATTATAATAATGTGATATTTTACTTTGTGTTTATAGCTGAATTTTAGTATACTGAAAATTGACTAGCATGCATACATGCAGTAACTTGAACTGCTAATATCCTTTCCCCTGCTTGGACATAAGGGACTGTATACAGCTTTGGCACTTCAGATTTGACAGTCAGTTACAGACTGTAGAGGCGGAGTGAGATAATAGACTTTTGAGTACAATTGTGTGCCACTGTGGCAAAGATACAGGAGTTGGCTAAAGTGCAGGAGGCTCCAGTCCAGGATGCTTCACTGCTGTTTGTCCTTGTACAGTTAGAATCAACATTCTTGATTTCTGGTGGAGCAGATAGATTATGCTACTAATGTGTTTTGCAAACCACTTATACTGTAACTGCAGCCCATGACCGCGTCTCATATGTGAAATAATGTATATTGTAAATTAGGTTTTTTTTTTTACTCCCCCGTGTGGAAGCTTGTCTTGTTGTTCACTGTAGTTCTGATTGTTTGTGTGGAACACTGAGCACCACATGATTATCTCCTCATAGCAGCACAGCAGGGAAAAAACCTCTATCTTCCTGGTCTGTAGGGATTGGGAAAGCTGTTGACAAGCAGAGGAGGGCAAAAGTAGATGGAGAACATGAGCCACCAGTGGGCCTTCCTTTCACTCGATCACCCCTCACCCCTCCAGCTCTCCCCACCTCCCCCTGTCTCATTGTCAGTGGCTGTGAGAGGAGGCCTGGCTCTGGCCTTCTGACTCATGTCTCTCCATCCTCTCTTCAGCTTCCCTGTCCATATGCTCTCACGCAGGCAGGCAGAGGCTCATTAGCGTGCACACTGCATCTCCATGTGGCGCTGCCTCCACAAAATAACAGGCCATCCAACCTAATGAGGCTGAGATATGAGGAAACTCTGAGAGCCTGCCGTGGCCGTGCATGTTTGTGTTGTGTGGGTGCGCCGCCTGCCTGTCCGCTGTCGAAGACTAATTTTCTCTGTGCTGATCTGTGTCCCTGCTTTCAGCTTGTCAGACCTGTCACCGTAGTGCCTAACGTCCCCGGGATCCCAGGACCTCCCTCGCCACAGCCACAGCCACAGCCACAGCCTGTCCAATCAGAAGCAAAGCTGGTATTTGTTATCTCTACTTTTACATCAAATGTTATTTTCATGTTGAATCTGTTATTTCCCATCTGAGAAACATAATAACCAAACACCAAGGGAGTTTGACAGTGAGGAAGCAGTAGCTGTCTTTGACCTGATGGGGGCACTAGAGAGCCTGGGTGTGCACTATTCAAAAGTAGTGTAGTATATTTTTATTTATTACTGTAGCCCTTTCATTAAGGGACTTTCCAACTTGGTTTTACTGTCTAATACATCATTAAAAATGTTTTACTTTAAATGATTTAGAATGTAGAGCTCAATATTGGTCAATTTGTTGATTTTTCTTGCATCGACAGAAAATTTGTTGTAGCTGTTCTGATATTAGAATATTCTTAGTCCTTTTTTTAAGCAAAATGCAAAAACATTTGCTCATTACCGCTTCTCAGATGATAACTTGAATTGTATTGTACTTTACTCACACAAAGATTTACCCTAAAGTGCTTTATAAAACAGGATTAACAACAATGTTAGCCCAGTAGCAAAAATGACAGTTAACAATAACAACAAATAAAACATAGGATAACAGTAAAATAAAATATTTAAAAGACGCCATTAAAACCAGCTGTGAGAATCGCTGCTGTCCTTTTTCATACATAATAAACTGAATATCTTTGGTGTTGGACTGCTGCTCAGACAAAAGAGGATTAATAAATCATAGATTAGTCAGTAATAAAAGTAATGATCAGTTATTGATCTACTGATTTATAATAATCCTGCTAATAACAAAACACAGAAATATTTCAGTTGTTTCCATGGGGGAGAAAACGGTTCCAGCAGTATTGTAATTAAGTCCTCCTGTATAGAAAGTGATAGTTGAAGGGCAGGGATATGAAGTGTTGTAAAGGAGATCGGTGGCAGTGTGATGAAGTACGGATCACAGAACCTGTAAGTGCTCACAGCATGTTCCGGCTGTGGAAATTAACAACTAAACTGTGGAAAGGAGGTGTGTGTATGTTGGGAGGGAAGGATTGATCCTGACTGGCGGGGGGGAATCATGGGGTATGGTGATGACTAACGCGGAGACAGCGTTGTGCTCAGCACGCCGTCACCAGGTTCAGCCAGAGGGGGGCTACCAGCAAAAGCCAGCTGGGGGCATCCTGGCACACGCTCAGCGAGGCACATTAAGCCGGCCTCACCCTGCATGGAACCTTTTGTTCAGCAGAATCCTGCCTGACCTGCATCCCCCCTCTCACTCCCGGCGCCTCCCACCGCACTCAGCTCATCAGCAAACACCTAATGAGCCTGCGTCAAGAAAACAGACCTCACTCAACCTGCCCACTCCCCGCCCCCACCCGGATCTCAGGGGGCGCGGAGACGGCACTTTACAAGGACTGATGATGCTGCAAAGACCACAATAATGATAATTAACTTGCTGAATTTAGAAGATTATGCTGTTAATTAGTTGCAAAATAAAGATAAGTAATATAGTAGCAGATGGTTGAATAACACCCATGAGATGGAGGGTTATTACACTGATGAGGTTTCCATGGCAGAGATGAAATATGAATCTAACTGGCTTTTCCCTCTTTCTATGAGCCATTCCAAGAGAATAATATCTTGTTTCTGCCAGAAGAGCTTCTGGAAGGGTATTACACGATAAACTAATTTGGTAGATAGATTGGTCTGGCAAAGGTAGTTGTTAGAATAATGTGCCTCTCTGTTTTCCCATGTAAATGTATTCCCTCTCACTTTGTTATTGCATCGAAGGGCTCATTCACTTTCACCTTGTTTGCTCAGTGTTTGATGCTAGAGGAATTGGCTTGTGAATCATGGACACCAATCTGTGGAGAAATTGCTCTTGTGAAAGGGCTGTGTTTGTGTGTGTGACATTCTTGTTTTTTTTTTTTTTGACATTGTGAGTTACATTATGAACCATGGATGTTCTTCACCTGGATTTCTTTTTTGTTTTTGTTTACCTATTTGATTCTACTTATTTTATATTTTAGAATCCTCTTTTATAACGTAAATTTTTGGGGGAATCGCTGAATGCCAGAAAATGTAAAAGGAGGATATTTCAAATAAAATTGTACACGTCGTCAGTCAGAATGCCAGCGGTGATGCTTCTCTGTTCTTCTTCTCTGTTGACTGCTCTAAACTCAGTAGCTTCATTGAAGCAAGATGTTACAGTCTGTTCACTAACTGCTTAACACTCACACTAGGTCTGGTGTTGTTAGTCGTCTTTTGGAACTTCTCTCCTCAACATTTTGAAGCACAATTTTTTTTTGTAAGAAGTTGGGGTGTGTTTAAATTTTTTTTTTTTTATTGGATTTCCTGTTACTAAGCAGTATATTTTGCTTAATGCTTTGTATTCAACACACACTGCTAACTTGTTTCCAATTCAGTGGCTCAGGTCAACATTCATAAATGTGTCATTTCAGTTTGTAAAGTGAATGATTTAAGTAAACCATTTGGGTTATTATTATTTTTATTTTAGTTTTGTCTTTGCCTGCCTGTCTGTCACAGCTAGGCTGTTTGGTCATTTTTTGTTCAGTAGTGTTCACAGGTGAGAACTAGCTGTAAACACATTTGCACATAACCTTAACAGCCAGTGAAAATAAACTTTCATACTAAAAATTCATAGTGCTACCTTGATATATTCTAATTTCTTGGTGTACTGTCACTAAAACCTCCTTTTTAGCATATTTGTAACTGAATATAGTTTTGCTCTTACATGAGCTATTTCTTTACATGAATGGTTTTTGACTATTTCCCCTGTGCTGAATTCTCTTCCCAGAAACTGAAAACGACATTAAGCCAGCAGCTTCCTCAGGTAACCAATGGAGACGGCGGTGAAGTCCAGAGCAACGCTGTAACCCACACTGCTGCTCCTGCTTCTCCTGCCCCAGCCCCAACTCCAGCCCCAACCGCAGTCCAAACTCCCGCTCCGGTTCCTCACCTGCCTGCAGCTGAGGAACCTTCTCCCCATTCCCTTCAACAGCCAGCCACCTCCACCACAGAGACACCTGTAAGTGTTCACACATATTGTGTAGGGGCATGTTTTTCCTTACTTTACATGTTATTTCACAATGTGCACTTTCAGTAAAATAATTTATTTCCTTGTTAGCATATGTTTGCAAAGTCAGCCTGCCAGTAAGATGTCTGTATAGTCTATACATTTATTTCAGTGTTTGTTTAATTTAGCTGTGTATCAGAAAGTGCAGACAAGTGTCCTCTGTACAGGGCTGTGTGTTGAACCTCAGTACTGGTGATGACTGAAATCTGCTACAGTATCGAGTATGAAAAACCGTCCAGTCCAGAAAGCTGCCATTATTTATTTTTTAATCAGACAGCTCCTGATTTAAACTGAAATTGTCCAATGATGTCAGCAGTACTTTACGGATGCGGTGGTGGATTTGTTCTACTAGTTATTGTCCTTATTTTCATTAATGTACAGGCTTCCCCAGTGCCCCCAGCGCAAAACCCTCCAAGCACAGGGGGTCGTCGACGCCGAACCACAAGCGAAGACCCCGATGAGAAGCGGCGCAAATTCCTGGAGCGTAACAGGGCTGCCGCTTCTCGCTGTAGGCTGAAGAGGAAAGTGTGGGTCCAATCTCTGGAGAAGAAGGCCGAGGACCTCAGCTCCATGAACGGACAACTACAGGTGCTTTTTACCTCTTACTTTCAGTTGATGCATGCAACAACTGCTACTGACAACATGTCAGTTTGTGTATGCACGCGCGCCTGTTTATCATTGTGTGCTGTTGATGTAAGCGTGCGCACACAGGCTTTTCCCTTCTGTGGTGATGAAGTCATTAATGCCGATTAAGAAGAGCTGCCGCATGACAGCAGCAGTGTGTGAGCCCTTTACATCGATATGTCCCTGTCAATAAAGATGTATCCTCCAGATGTCAGCCGCACACAAGCGTGTCTTCACTTCTGTCTCAGCAGTTTACTGAATGGCCTCAAAAATCTCCTAGGGAAAGGTGTCTTTTTGAACCTTCATTTCACTGGAAGCAATTAGGATCTGATGCTGACAAGTTCGAAACAGTTCATCTATCTGCTGTCTCTGTTGATAAGTGTGAGTCGGGGGTGCGGCACATCGGTGTTCCAGACAATTAAATGAGATATGGTGTTTATTTGCTCACTGTCTTATTTTTCTATGAAAGCAGAGTAAGATGTGAAGTGTGGAGGAGGGGATAGACAGCAGTGGAAAAGACATGGGTTCATGTTGTTAAAAACAAGTTATCACCACTTGTCATGGCTGCACTAGAGAAGAATTTATTTAAACAGAGGTATGTGAAAGGGGGAGGATAGAGGAGTGAATGGAGTTATAGACTGAAAGCTCATCGCCGTTAACTACAAAGAAGGGAACAACATGTGGCAACGAATAAAAGGGCACTTTATATGAAGGCATTAATCAACAGTGCAGTTTTTGTAAAAACCCCATGCTGACACGGCCCAGCTGATCAGTGAAACTGCCTCTAATGATGCACAATTATTTTAACATCATCCTTAACTGGCTTTTTAATGAGGTGTCAGACCAGGCAGCTCACAGGGCTCCCAGCATCACCCAAGGCCCATTTGCTCAATTTCGATTAATTCACAAAGTTAGAAACAAGTTAAACTCTCACAAGTCCAGTTGAGTCCAGATTAAACTGCCCAGTATGATGATCTCCTGACAGTATTAATGTCATGGTTTTGACTTCACCTTATGAGTAAATGATTTTGTAAATGTGTTTGTAAGTCAACCAAACACTTCGTGTTTTCACCACTAAGCTCTAAAGTAGGATGCTTTTTGTCCAAATTCAACTAATGGAACAGCATTTTGTGATGAATGTTGACATTTATGACTTTTGTCTACAAATCTGTCTTGTCAGTCACTCAGTCTCTACCTCTCTGCTTACCTTAAGTGGATTGAAGGGACAGTTGAAAGGAACGCCTGCTTTATATTGGCTGTAAATGGCAGCAATCGTGGTGGAAGTGCTGTGAATGTGGCGTTGGCTACATGTGATACGTACACTTCTTCCAGCTGTGTTTAAATCTGTCTTACAATAGCTCAGCCCTGCCAGCACCAGCAAGACTAAACAGATGGAATCAAATAAATTGGCTGCTTTTAGACTAATAGATTAAGCCGCCCATAGTCCTTTAAAGGAGAGGGGAAGGAGCTTAAATCTGCCATTGGGTGTTCGTGGGCCCCTGGCCGCTCTAAATCCAGTTAAAGTCACCTTCAGCGTAATGTGGCTCTTTTTTACGACATGCAGAAATTCCCAGCTCCCCTGGGAGCTGTAACAACACGACGATGTAAATCTCAGCAGCATCTACAAAGTTGCACTGACAATCTGAACAGCTCACCTCTGACAAATGTGCTGGGCGGTAGCCAGTGAAGGTCCATAATTATTGTGTAGGAAAAGCCTAAATGCACAAGTGCACTGTATTTTATTCTGAATTCCTTCATTACCTGGTGTTACCTTTCTCTTAGTTTTTTTTTTTGTAGAAGAAAATAGGAGTTTATCTGCAGTAATATAGAGTAGTCTTTTAGGCTTGCTGGCCAAATGAATTCTCAAGAATTTAACCCTGTGATCTCAGTTTAATAATCAGCCTGCGGCGGGGACCGCAGTCAAGCTGAAATCTGGGGTTTACACTGTACTGAGCATTTATGGTTTGCATGCTGGATTTTGATTTATTCCTCTACTTCTGTGCTTTGAGGTCACATTCAGTCCCAAGTCTTAGTCTACCCGCCTATATTAGGTTCGGGCTAGAACTAGATCGATAAGTTAGGCCGGTCAACACAATTTATTTTTGCAGATATGTCAGTATCAGTTTAAATGGTGGGCAAAAAGTAACAACAGTACAGCAATGCTAAATATATGTTTCAGATGTTGTAGAAATAGTGTAATTAGTACATCGTTTGTTCACCAGAGTGTAAAATGTTCCACTCAGACTTTTTGTGCACCTTATGGTGTGAGTTGATGCAAAAAAAAAAC